TGTTTTTTTTGTTGTTGTTGTTGTTGTTTTGTTTTTTTTGTTTTGGTTTGGTTTGGTTTGGTTTTTAGTTTTTCAAGACAGGGTTTTTCTGTAACTTTGGAACCTGTCCTGGAACTAGCTCTTGTAGACCAGGCTAGCCTTGAACTCACAGAGATCCACCTGCCTCTACCTCCAAGTGCTAGGATTTGGAAGACTTTAATGACTGCTTCTATTTTCTTAGAGCTTATAGGTCTATTTAAATTGTTCATCTGGTCTTAATTTGATTTGGTATGTGATCCAAAAATTGACCATTTCTTTTAGATTTTCCAATTTTGTGGAGTTCAGGTTTTCAAAGTATGACCTTATGTTTCTTTTTGTATTTCCTCAGTATCTGTTAGGTCCCCCTTTTCATCTGTGATTTTAATAATTTGGATATTCTCTCTTTGCTTTTTGGCTAGTTTGGATAAAGTGTTTGCCTTTCTTGTTGATTTTCTCAAAGAACCATGTCTTTGTTTCATCAATTCTTTTTATTGTTTTCTTTGTTTCTATTTTATTGATTTCAGCCCTCAATTTGATGATTTTCTGTCATCTACTCCTGGGTGAGTCTGCTTCTTTTTGGTCTAGAGCTTTCAGGTATGCTGTAAAGTCTCTACTGTGAGATATCTCCACTGTCTTTCTGTAGGCACTGTAAATGAAAACTGCTCGTTCGTGTCTTGGACATCTTTTGTAAATCTTTTCCCAACCCTTTACTCTGAGATAATGTCCATTTTTAAAGTTGAGGTGTGTTTCTTTTTTTAATTGATTTTTATTGAGCTCTACATTTTTCTCTGCTCCCCTCTCTGCCTCTCCCCTCCCCGCTTCAGTCCTCCCCCTGAGGTGTGTTTCTTGAGTACAACAGAAGGATGGATTCTGTTTCCATATCCAATCTGTTATTAACCTGTGTCTTTTTATATACAAATTGAGTCCATTAATACTAACAGATATTAATGACCAGTGATTGTTAATTCCTGTTATTTTTCATTGGTAGTGTTTGTGTATTTTCCTTCTTTGGAGTTTGCTGGTATGAGGTTATCTGTGTTTTTTTGGGGGGGGGATGCAGCTAACTTCCTTGGGTTGGTGTTTTCCTTCTAGTGCTTTCTGTAAGGCTGGGTTTCCACAAACCCGGGTGTTGTTTAAATCTGGTTTTGTCATGGAATATCTTGTTTTCTCCATCTATGGTGATTGAAAACTTTGTTAGGTATAGTAGTTTGGGTTTGCAGCCATTGTTTGTTAGTGTCTGCAGCACATCTGTCCAGGACTTTTTTGCTTTCAGAGTTTCCATTGAGAAATCAGGTGTAATTATGATAGGTCTGTGTTCATATGTTACTTGGCCTTTTTCCCTTACAGCTCTTAGTCTTCTTTCTTTATTCTGTATGTTTAGTGTTTTTATTATTATGTGGTAAGGAGACTTTTTTAGTCTAGTCTATTTGTTGTTCTGTAAGTTTCTTGTACCTTTATAGACTTATTTTAGTTTGGGAAAGTTTTCTTCTATGATTTTGTTGAATATATTTTCTGTGCCTTTGAGCTGGAGTTGTTCTTCTTTTCATGGTGTCCCATATTTTTTAGATGTTTTGTATTAGGAATTTATTGGATTTAACATTTTCTTTGACTGATCAATCTATTTCCTCTATAGTATCTTCAACACTTGAGATTCTCTCTTCTATCCTTTGAATTTTGTTGATTATGCTTACATCTATAGTTCCTGTTTGTTTACCTAGATTTTCCATTTCTAGAATTCTCTTGGTTTGTATTTTCTTTATTATCTCTATTCCAGTTTTCAAATTTTGAACTGTTTGCTTCACCTGTTTGTTTGTTTGTTTGTTTGTTTTTGGTTTTCTTGGGTTTCTTTAAGATATTGATTTCTTCCAATTTTTTGTTTTTCTTTTTCTCCATTTTTTAAGGGAATTTTTCAGTTCCTTTTTAAGGGTCTCTATCGTTTTCTTAAAGTTATATTTAAGGACATTTTCTTCTGCTTTTTCTGGGTTAGGATGTTCAGGTCTTTCTGTTGTATGACCCCTGGGTTCTGGAGCTGCCGTGTTGCTTTTTATGTTGTTGAATGAATTCTTGCATTGGTGCCTACCCATCTCTTCCTCCAATTGGTGCAAGCGGTGTCTTTGCCTCTTCGTCTAATCCTTGCAATCAGTGTCTGTGTCTCAGGGAACAATTGAGGTCTCCCCGGGGTGGGTGGGTTTGGGAATGGATTGGAACTTTTAGATTACAGGGTTTGACTGATGGGGGGAGGTTGGAGCAGCCTGCCTGCAGGTGGCACCTGCTGGCTGGCTAGTGAATCTGAGGCAGGTGGGGGAGGGGCCAGGGTTTTGCCCTGGGGCCTAGAGACTGGGCTGTCCAGTTGGGGAGCTGGTCACTCACCTCTTGGTCCACTCTGAGTAGTCACAGTCTGCCTCAGGGAACCACTGAGGTTGCAGGGGATGGGTGGGCTTTGCTACTTGTGTTTGTTTGAAAAACAGTTTCTCCTAGTTCAATGATTAGGATAGGCTGATTGGACAGTGAGACCCAGGGATATACCTATCTCTATGCTACATCTAACTTTTTACATTGATGCAAGGAATTGAAGTTTTGTCCTCATGCTTGCAAGGCAAACATTTTACCAACTAAGCAACCTCCATAACCCCTCATTACACAAATCTTCTCAAAGGAGTTAAACTTGAAGAAAAGCAGATATTTATAGTGGTTGCTCTAATCTCTTTGTAGGCCATATATACATATACATACACACACACAAACATATACATATATATATACACACTTCTAAACTTTACAGTCTTTAGATTCCACTGTTAGAGAGTAAATGTGTGGCTGGACATGGACCTCGGGAGTAGGAAGGCTGTTCTGGAATGTGCAAAGCTCTGGGTTCAATTGCCAGTACAAAAATAAAGTGAATGCCTATTATGTGCATAAATTGATATCTGTATTTGTATTTGAACAGTAAACATGTCAGTAGACTTAAGCTAATAGTAGTTCTACTACACTAAGTAGAAGATTACTACAAAGTCATAAGTAGCATCCTTAAACTTATAGTTACATGGTGTTGCCACAGTGATTAAAAAGGAATAAGTAAACACTGTTAACTCCCAAGAAAGGCTAAGCCCCAGTTTACCCCTTCTGAAATTTTTATGCAAGATTTTGGGTTATCAAAAAACTTCTATTTCCTCTTAGAGAACTTTGTATTTAAATACTGTAACAGATTTTCAAAATATCTTATTAAGCAACGAAAAGTTGTATATAATTTATCCAAAATTAATAAACTCATAAAATTGCAAATTGTAAGTTCAATCAAGTTATGTAGATACTAATTTAAATTCCAAAAATATATTGTTTGCACAGTCATTCAGAATTTAAATGATTTCTCTGGGCTTCTTATATTGAAGTATTTACTCTGAAGACATTTTTCAATTGAGACAAGCAATATAAAAAATATATTGAAAGTTATAAGTCCTGATGCTTAGACATATGCTAAGTTACCTACAGGGGTAAATTACCTTTCAGAATTCTACACATGAGCTCTTTAGCTATGATTATTTTTCAGCTAATGGATTTTCATGATAGATGCTTCAATGATAACCTTCATTAATAAAGCATAGTATTCATCCTGTATATTATACTAAGTCATACATAAGCCTTATTTTATAATGTTAATGTGTAGTAGGAAAATTCAGCAATTTTCATAATTTCATGTTTTACATGCAGTAGCAAGAAGCTAGAAATTGAGCTCATTTAGTAGAAGGCTTACCTAAAATGCAGACTCTAGCTTAGTTCCTAACACCATATGGACAAGGGGTGGTAGCACAGCTTATTCCCAGCACTCTGAAAGAGGATCAGAAGTTGAAGGGAAAATGAAGACATCCATAGTCATCTCCCTTAATGACATCTCAGACGTCTTTTACCCATTCTCAGTCAGAGCCTTTAGCCATCCTGAATGCTCTGTGTGGTGACCTTTCCTAGTCCTACGTATACACTCCCCACATCCATGCACTCCATCTTTGTCTCCGAAGACTGTTCTTCCTGGGACTGCCTTTCTTTCCTTTGTTCCCCACCTGCCCTCATTTCCTTTTGTCCCCCTCTGTACTCTCAAACCAGTTGTCCACACTCACCCACTCTGCTTCCCTCCTTATCATTCCTGTGCACTTGGACTAAAAGTTCAAAATACTTGTGGGACAGTGACTGTTGAGGCAGTATATGACAATGTGCATTATGGAGCATGTCTTTTCCTTCTATGAAAACTTCAAAAAATGTATTGCAAACAAAGAATTACAGTATACTCCCTCTTGCTAACCACTCACACTTAATGTATTTTAGCTGTTATAAATTCCTTATTTAACTTTCATCATCAAAGAAATGTTTCCAATAAAAGACCTTTGTTTCATAGTCCTTTTATTCTTCACTCAAAGAAAATTACTGTTACGAATTTGGCGTATGCTCCTACATTTTTATATTTCTACTGATAGAAGGTATATAAATATTTTTTCAATATGTAGTTTTATATTTGCATAAAATTATACCTTAAGGGCTGGCAGGATAGTAAAAATGGCTACCCCCAAGACAGACAACCTGAGTTTAGCTCCAAGGCCTGCATGGTGGAAGGAAAGAACCAACTCCTGCACTTTGTCCTCCAAACACATGTATGCATGCATGCATGTGTGCACACATGCACACATCCTTTTAGTTAAGTGCTAAGTGTCCTGAAATGTGGTATGTTTTCCTTTATATTTCAATGCCTTGCCTTCAGTGAAGAAATGAGAATCCTACATATTCCAGTCTCATATACTAGTTGAATTTTTCATCCAAAGCTCTCTATTAGTCTATAGCCCTGTCCCAGACTTATTCAGAAGAACTTGTATTAGACAGATTTCATTTCTAAAGAATGCAAATTAAATCTCATTCTGGATTTCATGTAAAGTTATTGAAATTTTCCTTTGTTCAATTTTGTTTATCTCTTATTTGTGGTGTGTTGTTTTCTACAGTTTCATCACTGGCCCAGCTGTAGTTCCAGGCTACTTCTCCATAGATGTGGACAACGTGGTTCTTGTTTTAAATGGAAGAGAAAAAACAAAGATCTTCCACGCCACCCAGTGGTTACTTTACGCACAGAACTTAATGCAAACCCAAAAGCTGCAGCATCTGGCTGTTGTTTTGCTGGGAAATGAGCAGTGTGATAATGACTGGATAATGCAGTTCCTCAAAAGAAACGGAGGCTTTGTGGACCTGCTTTTCATAACATACGACAGCCCCTGGATTAACGGTGCAGATGTTCTCCAGTGGCCTTTAGGTGTAGCAACGTAAGTACAAGATAAGACTGTGTATCCCTAGTCTCCAGGGTCTAGTGTTCTGAATCAGGAACATGATGTTTTAAATGATGATAAGCTTACAGGTGATAAGGCCAGGGGCAATCTTTCCTAGGGTCAATAAGAGTGTGACCTCATGCCTCCGTAACAGTAGTGACAGGGTCTTCGTTGTTTTGTTGTTTTGAGAATATTTTACTCTCCTCTGAGGAGAACTGATGAGTACGTTTTTTGTTTCAAAAATTAATATAGAATAAATATTTAAGCTTACTAGTGTCCTAAAGAGATGTTTAACAGAGAATGAATAAAGGTAGAGTCATAATTTCTAGTAAAAAACAAATACTTTTGTAGCAGTATTTTCATATAAAGAATACACTTACCCTTGGGTTGTGATTGACTGACTTTATGCAAATTTTAACTATTCAAACAAATGTTATTCAATAAATAATTTAAGATCCTCAGTATGTAATTATCCCCCTCCCCCGCTTAAAAATTGGAAAACATTTTTAAGCTTTCTATGGATAGGTTTTTAATAGTGAGCAAACTTTAAGCTAGGTTCCCACTAGTATATAAACTTTCTGAGGGCATAAATTTTCTTCCCAGCTCTAAAAATGTACATGAACACCTACAGCAAAAGCCCAGCAATTAAGAACACTTACTGCTGCTATAGGGGACACAGCACTAACATGGTGTAGATCACAGCTGTGTATGATTGCAGTCCCAAGGATCTGACGCGCTTTTCTGAACTGCGGGTCCATGGCTACACATGGAGAAAGACAGGCATACACATACACACATAAATGAAAAATATTAAATTTTTAAATAATGCTTAGATACTGTAGGTACTAAATTATTTGGTAAGTAAACGAATCATCTCCCTGATAGACTTAAATCAGACATTCATTATGTCACTAGTTACCACCATTTGTAGCCTCAGGCTTCTTTCTATTTAGCTACACAGCTGTCACCAGAAAAAATGCCATTGACACATTCCCTACATGTACCACATTCCAGCTGAGTAGGTTTGGAAGACTTGTTGAGGATATCCACCCTTAAGACCTTCAGAAAAATCTAGTCCTTGAGAAGGGCCTATATTTATAAAAATATTTTTACTTTTTCCACATTGTATGACATCACCTGTTTGTATAATAGAAGATAGAAACATAGTAATCCTGGAATCACCATATTCGCCCTGTTCCCAACAAGGAAAGATTCAGTACCAAATGGAAAATTGGTTGCTCAACTAAAAAGAGGAAGTTGTCACAACTTCCATTTCGTGTGTAGATCCCAGGTGTCTTAGTCAGTGTTCTATTGCTGTGAAGAAAAGTCATGACCTTAGCAACCCTTATAAAGGAAATAATTTAATTGGGGCTGGCCTATAGTTCAGATGTTTAATCCATTATCATCATGGCAGGAAGTAAGGCAGTGTGCAGGCAGACATGGTGCTGGAGAGGAGTGAGAGCTCCACATCCTGATCTACAGGCATCAGGAAGTGGACTGAGACACACTCCAACAAGGCCACATCTCCCAATAGTGCCACTCCCTGTGAGTTTATTAGGGCCAGTTACATCCAAACCACCACACCAGGGATGTTGTTAAACATGGCACCGTGTACAACACTTTTCCAAACAAAAAGTTATGTGTCCCAAAATGCCATAATAATCTCATGTACAGCATAGTCAGCCTCTATCATATAGTATACAGGTATTTGTTGTTTGTTGTTTGGAATTAAGTTTTCAGAGCTCATGACTCTAACAGTATATTTTCTTTTTAATGAATGATTATGTCTGTGGTGAGCAGTGTGTTTGGAAATCATATTTTAAATGTCCTTACTATACATAACCTAACAAGCCAGGCTGTGGGATGTTCCTACCATATAATAATTTATTGGTTGTTTTTATAGATACAGGAAGTTTCCTGTGGTTGAAGCCAGCTGGTCGATGCTCCATGATGAGAGGCCCTATGTATGTAATTTCTTAGGAACTATCTATGAAAATTCATCAAGACAAGCACTGATGAACATTTTGAAACAAGATGGAAGTGATCAACTTTGTTGGGTTTCTGCAAGGGAACAGTAAGGTTTTTTTTTTTTACCTACATATAAATTTATGTATATTTTAATTATAATATAGTATAATTTCAATATATATATTGAAATGTGTACATTTCCACAAAGCATAAGTTTTATATTTGCATGATTCCTCCCTGTTGCTCCCCAATCTGAGTGTCACTTTGTGTACACAGAGGTTTCCAGAGAATCGCTGGTACTCGGCTTATTCTACTGTCCTCTCAGAAGCTATAGTAGTAACTGGTTGGAAGTGTCACCCCAACTCCTGGCATCCATTTTGGAATGTTGGTTGGAAAACTGCATTTCAAGCCCCCCTGCCCTAGGAGTTGCCACAGTTCAGACTCCACCTCTGAGAAAGCCCACTAAATGACGACCCCTCCCCAAAGAGGGTCAAGACCACTCCCATAGGCTATTTAAACTGCCCCCCAGAGAATGAACACGTGGTCTCCCTGGTTCTCCTTTCCCCCTCTCTCTGTTTTCCTGGAGGGCCACCTGGGAGCCTTGGCATCCATTAAACCTGGGCTTCTTTTTATTTGGTTTGATTTAATCTGATTTGGATTACTGCATTGGTGGAGAGGATTGTCAGACCAGAAAAGCTTAACAGTAACTAAAACAGAAGAAACTGACTTTTCTCCCATCTTACATAGTAATCAAGAAGGAGGTGTCGATAAAGTAACAGAAGTCATTTTGCAATAATTTATTTTGCTTTTAAATAAACACATGGAGTATAAGGGAGTATAATGCAGAGTGGCCAGGGACCAGACACCTAAAAGATATGCTTCTAGATCTAGAAATTTATTTTTTAATTGTGACAAAAATTGCCTTCTAGATGGATACAACTACTATTTATGTAACTATATTAAGTTCATTCACTTAACACTTGCCAAAAACCTGCCATATGCCAGGAACCATTGAACCCATGATAAAGTCAGCAGTGAAAAACAAAAACAACAAATGTGCCTTCATAGCAGTCAGATGTTTGTTAGAGGAAACATAAAAATGTAGCATGTGTCAGAGATGATTGTTAAGTTTTTTTTTTTTTGGTCTGACAAACCTCTCTGCCAATGCAATAATCCAGATCAGACCAAATCAAACCAAATTAGAAGAAGCCCTGGTTTAATGGATGCCAGCACTCCCAAGAGGTCCTATGGGAGTGGTCTTGACCCTCCCTGGGGAGAGCTCACCATTTGGCAGGCTTTCTTGGAGGTGGAGTCTGGACTATGGCAACTCCCAGGGGAGGGGGCTTGGAACTTTCCAAACATTCCAGACTCCTTGAATAAATGGGGTGCTAGAGAGCTGAGGTGATGCTTCCAACCAGACATTCCAGACTCCTTGGATAAGGGGGGGGGGGGGGGGTACCAGCTCAAGTCTGGCTACTTCCCAAGGGCATGGGGCAATATGGGAGAGGGGAGAGTTGGGAGTTGGTGGGCTCACGCTCAGCAAGAGGTGTGGCTGGAGAGGCATCTGGTTTACCTCAGGCATCTTTTCTTTGGAGGGAGATGAGAAGGCAGGTGGCTAGAAGAAAAAATATATTGTTATTATTGCCCCTATGAATGGGGCTAGCCATGAGAAGGGTTATTAACTGCCAGAAAGAATGGGATGGAGAAGTACCCTGGTTGTACAGGAGAGGCAAGGGTAAATAGTGAGACAGGAGAGCAGAAATGCCCTTTAAAACTAGATTTTAGTTGGTTGCTGTCCTTTTGAGTCTGGAGAGCTGGTACTAATGGTGAAGTCCCAGGAACTAGTACAGGTGTTGGCATTGTCTGGAGGGCCCTTTGTAAGTTGGTCTTGGCCAAGACAGCAGGAGTGACCTGTAAAATATGCTTGAAAATGGGTGGGGCTAAAATAGACTCTGGAGATTGTTAGTTTTTTTCAGACCTGATTTTTGATACAGCAGAACTTTTTCTAGGAACCTGCAGGTATCTGTAAGACTGGAACAGAAACGTTTTAGAAGACAAAGGGAACTGGGAACTTTGGATCTCTGAAGATACACCTGAAGCCTGTTATCCTGCACTCTGAAGCCTGTGAAAGAGGCACACCTGTCTATTTTTAGCAGGAAACCTAACAAATGAAGTAATGAACTACCAGTACCTTACTTAAGTCATCAAATGCCATTAGACAGATCTGGGAAAGATAAATGAGACCACTTTTCTGGCCATGCAGGCAATCTTAAGGCTCTCTGTAGTTTTTGGAGAACACCAGCCTTAGAAGCAGTACTGTTAGCTGTTAGCTGCTGAGTCCAGGAGGTCTGAAGATTTTCCTTCAGGGGAAGATTTAGTCTACCTGTCTTGGCAGGATGAGAAGATTGATTCCCTGGTGTAGCGTCCAGGAAGCTGATGAGGTACAAGGCCCCTTTTAGTGTGTGGGTGGCTTTGCCATACCCAAAGGCAAGCCTCCAGGAGGAAGGTCTTTTTTGTAACCATGCATCTTCTTGGAGGAGCTATAGGATGCTGCAGGAACTGGCATGTCTCTGTAATAGAAGCTCTTTTGCTAAATGCCATGCTCTCAGATTTGTAAAGGCATTTGAGAATTGGGTACCATTACCTGTTAGTTATATTTAAATTAGACATATAAATTAAATTTAGACATGTATTTTACCCAGTTAGTTACAGCTTACCAATGCTAGTGAATGTAAGAAGATTAAAATATTTTTGTAAATTAAAGAATTTTGGAGGCAGACTGTCTCCTTTGGTAGGTCTAGTATACGAAAGTACTCTTACCAGAGATGGAGCTGAGGTCAAAATGGAAGCTACCCACATGTTTGTATTTTTTTTCCAGCGCTGTTGTAATCTGGAGAGTGACAAGTTTTACAGATTTTAAAACACACACACATACACACAGAGAAATAAGACAAGCATACTATGGAAACACACACACGTAGACATAAAGCATAGTGTGGCCACATTATTTTAACAGACAAATAAATCTTTTTTTAGGAACCTGTGTCATCTGACCAACTTAAAATTCCTGGTGTAGGCAAGCAGCAGGAACCAGGGAAGCACACAGGTGGTGCCATTAAGGGCCAGATTAACAGACGCTACAAGAGAAAACAGAAACCTAAGGATGGAACACCTATACAGTTTTAGAGTAGAAGGATGGGAGTAACGGATCTGTTGTAGAGAACACATAGCGAGAGAGAGGGGAGTGGAGCACAGCATCTAGAAACCATGGGCATAAGGGGCCTTGTTTGTTTTACGTTAGACGTTAGATAGCCCCAATTTAATAGGATTTTTATAAAAGGCAGCCCAGGGCGTTTGGAGATCAGGCCTCAAATTGCAAGTGTCCATTTTTACAAGTCTATACTGAGTCTTGGGACTCAGTGCCTACCACGTGTGTCCACTGTGATAAGACAAAAGCAGAAGGGTGTGAGAATTGCATGGACAAACATCTCCATCCCAAGGAATCCCACCTCAGTGAGGACTGCCTCACCGTTTTTAGTGGGGGGGGGGGGGGGGGGCAACATGGGCTGTGGCTTCAACAGACTACCCAACAAACTTATGGGCCCTGGGCCCTATGTGCTTGAAAAAAGGGAACTCACCCAGACAAAGCCAAGCCTGGCAGAAAGCATGGGTAAGAAAGGCATTTTTCCAACATGTAACCATGGGCTAGTGAGTAAAACAGCCCATCTCGGTGGACCCTCCAAATGTTGGGTTTTTCCGGCCCTACATCCAGGTCATACCAAATCAAACCAAATTAAAAGAAGCCCAGGTTTAATGGATGCCAGCGCTCCTTGGTGGCCCTCCAGAACACAGAGGGGGAAGGAAAACCGGGGAGACCACTGTTCTCTGGGGGGAGTTTAAGTAGCCTATAGGAGTGATCTTGACCCTCTGTGGGAAGGGCTCACCATTTGGCTGGCTTTCTTGGAGGTGGAGTCTGGGCTGTGGCAACTCCAAGGGGAAGGGGCTCTAAACTTTCCAAACAACGATAATGCATGTAAGAAAAGAATTAAGCAGGTGGAGAGGAGAACATTGATTTTTCAAGTAGCCCAGGAGAGCGCCAGGTAGAGGACTGTGTGAAACACAGGCACAAAGAGGGAGCAGGGTCTTCCTTGTGTTGGTGTGGGACACCAGTGTCCATTTGGAGGGAGGAACAAAGGCAAGAGGGTGCTGACCACAACAGGCTGCTGATAAATGAGTGAGGGTGTCGGAAAAGAGGAAAGACTTACTGCAGGAGGACTGCTGATAAAATGGCTCTCGATGCACTGAGCTAGAGGTCAGGTACCTCTGTGCACTCTTGCTGCTTCTAGACCATTCTTCCCTTCCCTCCCAAAACCCCAGTCCTCCAGTCTCCTGTCAGCATGTGTAACTGTGGCTGGCATTCTCTGCAGCACTGAGCCTGGGCTGTACCTCCCTGATTCCTTAAAGGGCATGGCTCCTGTACAGTCACTCTGGCTCACACCACTCTTGTCTCAATGCTTGGCAGTTTCTAAGTCTGAGGAGGCAGTTTTTCCTTCACCTCGGTCTGCAGTTCCAGGCTGCGAGCTGACGTCAGCCATTTCCTATCATGTTCATTTCCTCAATGGCCACTTGGATTTCACAAACACAGGGTCTCACCATACTGCAGAGTCCAGCATTCCTCTTGGTAACCACCCTGTCTGTCATTCCAGCTCATTCCCTATCAGCTGACTCCACAACTCAGCTGGAATTTACAACCCATTGTTCTTATTCTCCTGTAGTTGTCATCCCATCCCAGTATTCACTTCAACCATCCCTGCATATACATTCACCTTCCTCATCCTGTTACCATCAACATCATCACTACCACAGTTTGAGCCAAATTTGAAGCAAGCTTGATTTTTTAGGGGTGCATCCAAGAGCTGGCCAGTGATTGCCTCTTATGTCAGATTAAAGAGAACAGATGTGGCTGGGCAGTGGTGGCGCACGCCTTTAATCCCAGCACTCGGGAGGCAGAGGCAGGCGGATCTCTGTGAGTTCGAGACCAGCCTGGTCTACAAGAGCTAGTTCCAGGACAGGCTCCAAAACCTCAGAGAAACCCTGTCTCGAAAAACAAAAACAAAAAAAAAACAAAAAACAAAAAAGAGAACAGACCTGAATCCATCTCTTAGGCCCCTTTTAAGGAGTAAAATCACAAGTAGTTTTACAAAAAGGAGACAATGGGGCAATAAGGAAATACAAAACACCTTAAAAAAAAATATGTGGTCACCCACCATGTGATTAGGGAGGGGTCAGGGAGTGTAAGGGTATTCTCAGAAACAAATCAGGGTCATGGGTAGGGGAACATCAGGTTCCAAGAAGCAGAGCAACTCTAACTCTCATAGTAAATAGAAACTTATTTTTTAAAATACAGCATAATGGCTCCTGCCTTCGAAATAGAGTCAGGAAGGTGCCTCAGTCCCCCATCTAGGAAACCCCACCTTGGCTAATCTCAGCTTCTGCCCACCCCATGCCCACATTCATACCCTGCACAAGTTTGCACAGTTTAAAAACTTGACACTCACACAATTTTCTTCCTAATGTATTCTTCCTCCCTTCTCTGTCCTAAACTCTCAACACCTCCTCCTCCATCTCCCCTGCTTTAAAAATCCTTGCTTATTTCACTAAGAAAATACAAATAGAAAACAGTGCTTGGCCCCTAAGTGATTTTTCTTAGCTCCTACATGTACATGGCCTGTATGTTCCATTCTCAACATGGCAGCCAGGTTGATTTCATTCAAATGTTGGTTGCTTGTGTCATCCTGATCAAAACTGCATAGGAGAACCCTGTGTGACCAATCAGACTCTGTTCTTCCTCTGCCCCCATCAGCCACTCTTCTTCTCCCTGGCTGTGCTCCCTACAGTCCCTTGAGCATGGTGGGCACATGCAGTCTTATGACTTCATCTTTGTTTATGCTCCATTCTTCTCCACATCTGCATGGCCTACCTGTTCGCACACAACTCTTGTGTTCTGAGTCCTCAGAAATAAAACATTCTCTAGTCACCTTGAGAATGTAGCCCTATCACTTCGGAAGTCCCTTGGTACTTCTCTGCTTTAATTTTCCTCACAGATCTTAAGCCTTTCTAGAAAACACTCTGACCCTAACTCAGTTAAAGACTTAATGTTCACCACCAGACTGTAACACAGCCGTGGCAGAATATGCTAGAGAGGAAAGAACCCATACTTGGGAAATACAGATTGAATGAATACTACCCACTCAAAGATTGATCATCAGATATTTAAAAATATAACAATAAAATGTTCAAATTCCTTAATTGTTTTAGGGAGTCTTGTGTAGCACAGGCTGTCCTCAAACTCAGTGTATAGCCCAGGCTGACTTTAAACTCCTAATCCTTCCTACACCTACCATCTTCTGATTACTGTCATGTACAGCCACACCCAGTTTATGGATGGATGGTGGTCAATACTAACTAGGTCTGAGTGCTGCCAGCTGGGCTATATCCACATCCACAAACTCTTAAAAGGTTTTAAATACATTTGGTCCAATATTTTCATTGTCTCATATTTCTCATCTCTATAATTTGTTCACAATTTTGATAATTGACATTAAAAGATTTCTTTCAAAACAGGTGCCATAGGAAAGTAAAACCCTACAGGGATTTCCTTGTTTTATTTTCTAGGTGGCAGCCTCAGGAGACAAATGAAAGTCTTAAGAATTACCAGGATGCTTTGCTTCAGAGTGACCTCACATTGTGTCCTGTAGGAGTGAACACAGAATGTTATAGAATATATGAGGCCTGCTCCTTTGGTTCCATCCCTGTGGTAGAAGATGTCATGACAGCTGGCCACTGTGGAAACACATCCAGTCACCACAGCGCCCCTCTGCAGCTGCTCAAAGCCATGGGTGCTCCCTTTATCTTCATCAAGAACTGGAAGGAGCTTCCTGCTATTTTAGAAAAGGAGAAGACTATAATTTTACAAGAAAAAGTTCAAAGAAGGAAAATGCTACTTCAGTGGTACCAACACTTCAAAGCAGAGCTGAAGTGGAAATTTATTAATACTTTAGAAAATTCTTTTTTTATGAATAATAAAGGTTAATCATATCTAAGTGTGTGCTTATAAGTGTGTATATTTATAGTGTTTGCTAAGCTTCATCGACTTCTGTTTTATATACCAGACCAAATGCTCTCCTTTTTGACTATTACGTACAAGATAAAAAAGATGGTAAAATTTTACCCAGATTGCTCTGGCAAGATGGTTGAGTGGGTAAAGGTGCTTCTTGCCAAGCCTGGTGACCTAAATTCACCACATGATAGGATAGAAATGAGTCTCACAGGCTGCCTTGTGACCTCCACCAGCATGGAAACACATCTAATAACTTACTTAGGTTCAGTTCTACCAAGATAAATAACTCAGTATTTACCAATTTTTCTCTCATCTTTAGCCCACATTAGGGGCCGTAGAGTTGCCTCAGTGGTTAAGAGTGCTTATTTCTCTTGCATATAAGCTCAGTTTGGTACCCAGCAGCCATATCAGGCTTTCAACCATCTGTAAGTATTGCTCCATATGTCCTGATACATGTCCTCAAGGACACCTGCACACAAGTGCACATAATGCATGAAATAAAAGAACTAACATGCAGTATTATTTACTAGGACTGACATTTGAATGTAAGGGTATGAGGATAGATGCTGACTAAGTTACAAAATTACAGTTACGATCAATGAATTCAACAGCTCTATTGTACAAAATGGTGATTATTGTAATAATAAATTTGAAGACTGCATGAGTGGATGCTATATGTACTCATAAAATGTATTAACTCTGAGGTAATGTAGATGTTAATTAGCAAGGTGTGGTCAGTTCACAGTGTATATGTCCCCAAAGCATTGCACTTGATAAACACATTCAATTTTATCTGCCAGGATTAGAAATAATTAGTTCACTCTAGGGAATCAGCACTGTATATCAAAAGACTGGGTATTGCAGTCAGAAAAACAGGTTAAGAACTGCAGTTTCCATGGGGATTTTGCCCAAGCCAACTGTTCATGCTGTGTCTTAGTTCTTTTCCAGGTGAAAAGTATTTGCTCCCTTGCTATTGGGATAAAGCACCTGGCAGTTTTTTTCATTTACACAGGCCCCATGTGGTAGTTAATGAGTTAACACTGTCCGAAGTGACCACTGAAGAATGGAGCCACTCCATCTCCATCCAGAGTACCAAGATTGCCTAGGATGAGCCTAGAGTAATTGTCCAGGTAGCTAGTAAGTCTCTCATTCAGTACAGAGGCCCTTTGGTTTATACTTCCTCTTTAAATTTATTCTCAGATCTCTGGCCCATGTTGATGGCTAACTGTAGCTTCTTCTGTTTAATAGCAGCTGCCTGGTTAGTTCATTTCCAATGTGAAAATCAGGCCTTGCTGCTTCTAGAGCTGTTAGGTGAAAACAGGTTTCAGTGTGACTTTTTACTATTTATTTAGAGGAACTTGCTTTGTAGTGACTGCTCTCAGAAATCGCCATTTGTGTCTCGTGATAAATGATTGGATGGAAAAAAAAATATCCAAGCATATGTGTTAAAAAAAAAAAATCTGATCTTTTCAAACGTGCCTGAAAGAGGGAGTGAGGATTTAGGAAAGAAATAGACAAGAAACTAAAGAGTCGGGAGGGCATCCAATGAGTACTTTATCTGCCCAAAGTTATGTCTCATAGCCCTTATATATCCTAAGCAAAAGGGGAAGGCAAAATACCATGATAGAAGGAACAAACAAGTGTAATTACTTCCTTAATTCTCAAAGCACCCAGTAACCATGCCTTAGATCAAACATCCTGTTAACTGGCCTTCAGGATCAAGACATCTACTAACCGCACACACATTCTTTAAGACCAAGAATAGGTTTGAACATCTAATCTTAAGTCAAGATGGAATAGAGTCTAATCTGTGGCCTCCCACAGATATAAAGTAAGTTGTAAAGGCTTAAAAGGTAGTTTAAGATAAGTAATTGCAATAATTTAAGATACATAAAAGATAAAGCTTAAAGATGATACATGATGCCAAGACTTCAAAAGTTTAGAATTTAAAGATATTAATCAATGAAGTTCTGATACTTAAAAGTACTTCTCATCATGCTGAAAACTGTGTGTGTGTTGGAAAATATTCTGCTATAGACATCCTGCAAACATGGGGGGAGGGTATTTAACAGTATCCCTGTACTCTGCCCAGTAGATGTCAGTGTGACAACTCCCTGAGGTTGTCATAACAAACAATATTCTAGTCTTTACCAAATGCCTTCAGAGAGTGCTGAGTGAGAACTACTGATCTCACAATTGGACACGAAAAACAACACCAAAATTATCTTCTACTATATGAATGGGTGGTGCAGTATATTCTGTGAGCAAGTAAAATATTCCAAAACTTTTTACAAATATAGGCTCTTCTTAAAAACACCCAAGACTGGATCTACCTCTAACCTACTCGATTGGAAGGCTGTAAGAGTAGAAGTGTGAAATAGGGTTATTATCATGGCCTCTGGGGACATCTATGCAGCTAACTGGGCCAAAGTCTAAGGCTGTAAAGGCTGTACATAGTGGTAACCAGCGAAATGATAATGAATGTCTAATTCAAAAACTACCAGGGAGGCAATTCATTTACGCGCTAAGCACTTATTGTCACTCCATGGGGCACTTTTTAGAGCAGGGGAGAAATGAGACAAAAGTTCCTGGGCTAGTGGCAGCTAATTGTAAAGTCTACTTGGTGTTAATTTAAAATCTCTAACCAGAAAGGTAAAAAAGGAAAAAGAAAATCTTATAGGAGGAGGGTTAGACATGGAGGAAACTTGGCTACCATCAAATTAATTTTTTCCTTTTATAGATGAGATTTACATAATTTCAACCAATTTCCACCCACAAGGATATTGTGTGGTATCTGTGGAGGTTCAGGAAAAGATAGCTGGGAGGGCTGGGGTATCAGTGTTACAGCTCAGAAGGGGGAGGTATCTTGGCTATCAGAAGCTAGGCAATACCTACGAGTGTTACAGCTCTGAAGGGAAAGGTATCCTGGGCATTGGAAACCAGGCAATACCTACAGCTCTTTTCCAGTGGCGGGTGCTTTCTCCCCAGGAATGAGGCACATCTGCTCCTCGCCAGGAGAGCCATTATAGCTCTGTTCTGCAAAGGGAGCTCCCCTGCAGAAATGTAGCAGTTCTGCTCCAAGGAAAGTTGTTACTTTTCTGCCCCACTCCACTCCCAAAAAAGAACCTTGTTACCTAAACCTTATTCAAGAGATTTATTGGGGGTGAAGCAGAGGATCCAGGAGAGTGGCTGCCTCTGCCAGGGTGGGAAAGGGCAATTTTAAACTGTAACAGGTACAAACAGGGATTCTTAGGGGCAGAGGTTTTCCACCGTGTAGATTTTCAGGGTGGGAACTGGTCGGATTACAAACCATGAGTTTGGATAAGCTTTGAGATTGGCTGGTTTTTGTGCTGAGTTGGTCAGGACAGGGTGTGTTTCAGGGACAAGGTGTGTTTCTTTCACTGGCCCTTTTTAATCTTTTGATCTGGTTTCAGGGCCAATGATCTTTTGATCTGGTTTCAGGATCAGGGTGTGTTTCTTTGGCTGGCTCTTTTACTCTGCATGGGGGGGAAGAAAGGAAAGGGAGTGATGCTGTAGTTCTATTTCAATTAAAAAATTTTAAAAAGAAAAAAGTATTTGTTATTCCTATAAACTATACAGACTTTTTGCTCATTTTTGTTTAAATTTTGTTTCTTCAGGAAAATCTTAATAACTTTGATAATCTATACTACATCTTTCCTAAAAATCAACAACAAAAGACACTTTTCAGTTCTTGGGAAAGAGTAAAACACTCTAAAAAGTCACAATTTTGTTGTATTTATATATGTTTGTGCATACACATACACACATAGATTGTATGTAACAATAATAAAAAAGAAGCTATCAATTTGAGAACTGGCATAGAAGGAATTCAAAAGAGAGTAGTTGGGAAGTGTTGGAGGGAAAAAGGGGAGGGGGAAAGTGATGTAATTCTGTTTCAACATATTAAAAATAAAGTAATAACTTACTTGAAAGGCTCTTCATTTTAAAATCTCTTTACTTTTTCAAAAAGTCCATATGATCCCATTCTAAAAGGTAAAGGCAAGCCTATTAATGACATTTAACTAGATCAACTCTTTTCATAAAATACCCAAGAAAACCCAAAAATTGACATGGAAAAAGATCACTATTGTCACTGAGGGGTCACACTCTTATTGACCCTAGGAAAGATTGCCCCTGGCCTAATCACCTGTAAGCTTATCATCATTTAAAACATCATGTTCCTGATTCAGAACACTAGACCCTGGAGACTAGGGATACACAGTCTTATCTTGTACTTACGTTGCTACACCTAAAGGCCACTGGAGAACATCTGCACCGTTAATCCAGGGGCTGTCGTATGTTATGAAAAGCAGGTCCACAAAGCCTCCGTTTCTTTTGAGGAACTGCATTATCCAGTCATTATCACACTGCTCATTTCCCAGCAAAACAACAGCCAGATGCTGCAGCTTTTGGGTTTGCATTAAGTTCTGTGCGTAAAGTAACCACTGGGTGGCGTGGAAGATCTTTGTTTTTTTCTCTTCCATTTAAAACAAGTACCACATTGTCCACATCTATGGAGAAGTAGCCAGAAACTACAGCTGGGCCCTGTGATGAAACTGTAGAAAACAGACCACAGTCTCCAAGCAAAAGATAAACAAAATTAAACAAGCAAAAGATAAACAAAACTAAATTTGATATCAAAACTTCTTATATTCATTCTAGAAATGATATTTCTGCATTACCAATACTTTTGGTTGACAGGAAGTTGAACATACTAGGTTAGCATTTCAATCACTGAGATCCATGTTCAACCACACTTTTACCATCAGGCGATCTAATTATTATTCATTCAGGACCACATATATGATCTAGAATGAAATTAGTGCAACAGAGGCCTGAAGAGGAAAGAAAAAAATAACCATTAGTATTGATATTTATAAGAATGTTATTTTTATTTTTTCATATATGATTACTCTGAGAAGATATATGTGATGAAGGAGATAGCAGACAATTCAGTGAGTAAAATATTTATAAGCATGAGGACC